CATGATGTGAAAGCAAGTACTATTAGTGGGAAACAATGCACAGTCTTAAGTGTCTTGGTATGAGTTGTAGTCACTACTGAATGTATACTGTCTTCCTCTGTCGAGCTCCACTCACTCCTCTGAAGTAGGGTCTCTTCCTGAACCTGGGGCTCATGGGTTCTCAGGCACACTAGAACCTAGTAAGTCTGATTCTCAGCACGCCTCAAACCTGGGGGTACAGGATATATAGAACTCCTGCCTTGTTATGTAGGTACTAGCACCAAACTCCAGTCCTCAGGTTTGCATAGCATGTACTTATTAATATTTATGTATCTAAGTGTTCCGTCTGTATATGTGTATGTGTATACACACACACACACACACACACACACACACACACACACACACACACAGTGTGCATGGTGCCCCTGGAGGCCAAAAGAGGGCAGTAGATACCTTGGGACTACAGTTAGAGATAGTTTTGAATCCCTTTTAAAGTAAGAAAAGGAGTTTTTTTGTTTTGTTTTCATTTTTAAACTGAGATTTATTATTCATGCATTATTTTCAACATTTTCAGAATAAGGAAGGAAATAGAGTGCTAGCTGTGCTGAGAGCAAGTGACCCGATGGTGGCAGCAGCCTTTCCACCTTTCCCTGTCTTTGCCCTGACTGCCAGCAGGTGTGTGTCCTGGGACTGCATCTGGCTAAGGAGCTCTGTGAGGTGGATGAGGATGGGGACTCATGGCTGCAGGTGACCCGAAGGCTTCCCATTTTGCCCACACTGCTCACCACCCTGGAGATGAGTCTCCGCATGAAGCAGAACCTGCATTTTACTGAGGCTGCGCTGCACCTGCTCCTCACCCTGGCTCGCACCCAGCAGGTAAGACACCCCGCTTGTGCCAAATAGTTTCCATGCGCCTACAATCCAGAATTTGACTCAGATCTCTCTTCCTGCCCTTGACAAATCTCGTTGGGCTCCATCATCTAATGATGGGTTTTTCTGCCAGGGAGCCACAGCAGTGGCTGGAGCCGGCATCACCCAGAGCATCTGTTTGCCCCTCTTGAGTGTGTACCAGCTTAGCAGCAATGGCACAGGACAGGTGAGTGCCCAGGATCTTGCTTCTTGTAGCTCTCGGGTGACAGGTGTCCACTGCGCTGCTTCTCCCTCATCTTAGCCCAGTTCCCTGTAGCATTGAGACTTTTCATTCCAGCAACTGGGCCGCAAAGAGACTGCTGCTCTGAGTGGGCTCCTTCCTGTGGCATCAGTCCTGAGCCTCTTTGCCATTTGTCATAGACACCCAGCACCTCTCGAAAGTCCCTGGATGCCCCGTCCTGGCCGGGGGTCTACCGCCTGTCCATGTCCTTGATGGAGCGGTTGCTCAAGACTCTGCGCTACAATTTCCTGACTGAGGCCCTAGACTTTGTGGGTGTCCATCAGGAGCGGACCTTGCAGGTGAGGGCCTGCCTGCCTCACAGAAGGGGATACTCAAAGCCATTTGGCAGGTGGCTGTAGGACCTGTGCTATCAATGCCCTCATCTTTGAGGGATCTTAAGAAAGCTGACTTGAGCCGGGCGGTGGTGGCGCACGCCTTTAATCCCAGCACTTGGGAGACAGAGGCAGGTGGATTTCTGAGTTCGAGGCCAGCCTGGTCTACAGAGTGAGTTCGAGGCCAGCCAGGGCTACACAGAGAAACCCTGTCTCGAGAAAACCAAAAAAAAGAAAAAAGAAAAAAAGAAAGAAATCTGACTTGAGTCACCTGACAAAGGGGAAAACTTGATTGTAATGTCAGCTACCTAAGCATGTGTGGGCCCAGGACCTGATCTTTATACGTAGGTAGACATGGTGTGTAGGGCCCTGAGCATTCTCTGCTGTCCTGTCCTCAGTGTCTCAGTGCCGTGAGGACAGTACAGAGTCTCGCCTGCCTGGAGGAAGCAGATCACACTGTGGGCTTCATCCTACAACTGTCCCACTTCAGGAAGGAGTGGCACTTCCATTTGCCTCAGCTCATGCGTGATGTTCAGGTGAGCCTCAGACTTGGCCTCTTGGAGGGTCTGGGGAGATGAGGGGCAGGGAGTCAGTGGATAGCATCAGTGAACTGTAGGCTGTCTCTGAACATGGGCTTCTTGCTTGGGGCACAGGTCTGACTCAGGCTGCTTCCTCAGGCTAGTTCTTCCCTCCAGAGTGAAGAGACTGGATGAGTAGAGAACTTGGATTCTGTAAGGTAGACTTAGGTTCAGAAGGCCTGAAGCTGGAAGAGCCCACAGGCTTGAGAGGCAGTAGGCTGTGGCCATGGCTACTGTCTCTATGACCTTGGCCAGTCACATCACCTCTGTCCTGCAGTGTGGAAATAGTAGTAATCCCCGTCTTGCTGATGTCTGAGGACTGCACTGTGCCAGCAGTGCAGGGAAACGTTCCAGGCCTGAGCCCTGCTGGTGGCTGTTGAGTTAGAGCATCAGTGGGGTGAGGGGGGTTTATGCTGGTATCCCGGGGGAATTGCCTCCATAAGTTTTTCCTGTCCCTTCTGTGCCCCAGGTGAACCTGGGCTACTTGTGTCAGGCCTGTACCTCCCTCCTACACAGTCGCAAGATGCTGCAGCACTACCTACAGGTAATGAAGGCCCCTAGCGTGTCACTGCTGGCAGTGCCACACTGAGCTCCCATAACTCACCATTCATTTCTTGACTCCTTAGAATAAAAATGGTGATGGCCTCCCTTCGGCTGTCACTCCCCGAGTTCAGCGGCCATCCACCACTACCACTGTTGTGGCTACCCCATCTGGCTGCTCCTCCAAGCAGCCTGTTGCTGACACTGAGGCCTCGGAACAGCGAGCCTTACACACAGTCCAGTATGGCCTTCTCAAGATTCTTAGCAGGACTCTGGCAGCCCTTCGCCACTTCACCCCAGATGTCTGCCAGATCCTCCTGGACCAGGTACCAGTCGTCACCTCCAAACAGACACTAGCTTCCGACACTCAGCCTTGAGCCTTGGCTCTGTAGTACACTATGCTGTGCTTTGGAGAGTTCTCAGCAAGTTCCAGAGTGCTGTTTTGTCTTTCAGTCCCTGGATCTTGCTGAATACAACTTCCTCTTTGCCCTGAGTTTCACTACTCCCACCTTTGACTCTGAAGTGGCCCCCTCCTTCGGAACCCTCTTGGCCACAGTGAACGTGGCCCTCAACATGCTTGGAGAGGTAAGCTGGTGAGGTGTCCCTCCCCCACAACATAACTTTCCACTTGTTTTAGAAATATACAACATCTAGCCCCTGGAGCCTAGGCCTCTCCCTACAGGGAGGGGCATGCTAGGAGTTCCCATGAGTACCCCATGAGGTGCCAGGGGAATTGGTATGCAAGACTTGTAAGTAGCTCTCTAACTGACCACTCTTACTGCTAACTTGATTTTTGTATCGCTTCCTCTAGCTGGACAAGAAAAAGGAATCCCTCACCCAGGCTGTGGGACTCAGCACACAAGCAGAAGGGACCCGAACATTAAAGTAAGACCCAAGTCTTGAGGCCTGGGGCAGTTGTGGGCTGCCGTCCTCCCATCGCTGGCTCAGCTGGGTTTGTCAAGTGCCTTTGCAGCATTGCCCATGCCTGCCTCTCCAGGTCCCTCCTGCTGTTCACCATGGAGAACTGCTTCTACCTACTCATCTCCCAAGCAGTGCGCTACCTCAGGGACCCGGCTGTGCACCCCCGGGACAAGCAGCGGATGAAGCAGGAGCTGAGCTCAGAGCTGGTACGGATGTTGGGCTGCCCAGCAGAGAAGGCTGTTGGATGCCGCTCGTGTTGTCATTTGGGGTCAGGGACAGTGGCCCTGCAGCTCATCTATCTGCTGCTTTCCTTGCAGAGCACGCTGCTTTCCAGCCTCTCACGATATTTCAGACGGGGAGCTCCCAGCTCCCCTGCTGCTGGAGTCCTGCCCTCGCCACAGGGCAAGGCCACCTCTCTCTCCAAAGCCAACCCAGAGTCTCAGGAGCCTCTGATCCAACTTGTGCAAGCCTTTGTCCGGCACGTGCAGAGATAGGGCAGTGGAGTACTAGCCACTTGCTACTCCCTACCAACCTGCACTGCAGCCTGGGCAGAGGGCGCTGCCGCCCTCCACAAGGCCAGCCACTGAGCAAGCAGATCCCTTCGTCCCCCTCCTGCCCACCCGCTGACATTATTTTTATATAGCTGAAGAGGTCAACAGCATGGGCAGGGAGCAAAGGGTGCTCAGACTTGACAATACCCCAAGGTGGCCCCTTTCCTTCTCCGTATCCCCATGGCACTTGAGCCAGGGGGGCCCTGGGTGCTGGCAGCACAGGACAGGCCTGTGTGTAGTGAGGGTTTTCCATGATCTATTCTTGCAGTTTTTTGGTAATTCTGTGGTCTATTTATACAAATATTAAAAATGCTGTTTATAGAGCCTGTGTCATGTGGCAACTTTCCGAGGCCCCAGATTTTGGGGGTGAAGGGTGGCTGGAGACAGCAGGACTCCTGTTGAGGCGGACTTACCAGCACCTTCCCATTTAGTCCTGAGCAGACTGTTAGGACAGGCACACACGGGAGAGTCTAGATCTCAGTGTGCATGTAGTTCTTCCTGCCGTGAAGCCCCGGGATGCCCACTGGGACCATCTAAAATAAAGCATGGCCACACTGGATGCTCCTAGAATCAGGCTGATATAGGGCTCCCTGCCTGCCACTTGCAAACTAGTACCTTGAAGAGGTAGATAATCTCTTGTCCCGTGCAGCTTCAGGCTGAGCCTATAACTGTTGGCTACTGAAGCGTCCCTATTCCCTAACAGGCAAGCCAGTGTAGACCCACATGTGGGTCCAGGGTTAGGGACGGACGTTTTCCTTAGGTACAAAGTGTTGTGTAATTGCATGTGCGGAACTCCGGGAAATGGGATGCTTAAGAACTGTTCCTGTGCTCTGTACTCTGGGAGCAGCTAGTGCCATGACTCCAAACCTTACCCTAAGAGACCAATGAAGTCTTAACCATCATGCTTTTAGGGTGGCTCCTGGACTCTGAGACCCTGACAAGGCAATTTGCACACAAAGGAGGATTTATTTGCCAGAGAGCAAGCAGACAGGCAGAAGTAAGAATGTTAGAAACTGAGGGAATGGTGGCTGTAGCCACTGCACCCAGCCAGAGCCATGAGGGAAGTGGGGGGAGGCAGCACTTGGTGCTGCTGCTCTGGCTGACCCTTCTGGTCTCCTGCTACACTGTCCCAGCCCTACCTGTTTGCTGCTGTCCCCCTCAACCTTCACAGCATTCCTTTCATGCCAAGAGCATCCCAGCATATTCTGGGCCCATGGTGGGATCAAATGGAGTGACCGTCCTGCTAAGGAGCTGGGAAGCCTGGAGTGTGCAGGGTTAGGTCAGAAGCAGGGCTAGCAGAGGGACCTGGAGCCATTCTGTCTTGTGGGGTCCTTAATAGCTGAATGACAGGCACAGCCAGAAAAGAGTTAGGTCCCTTATCCTAGGCAGCTCTGTCACCAGCAGACAAGTGTAAGCGGCAGGCCTGGGAAGGGGCTGCTTAGCTGAGCAGTTCCAGGTAGGTGACGGGAACCTTGCCCTTCTTGTTGCCTCGCTCACCAATGAGCCAGTCAGGATCCATGCCTGGCAGGCTGTAGACAGTGATGAGCTGTTGGAAGAAGAGAAGAGACTTAGACTCTAGACATGGGTAAGCCTAGCCCCAGGACTAAGCTGGGGCAAAGCTGCTACTTCCCTGTGAGAGATGTCCCTTCAGGGCTGTACTAGGCTGTAGAGGTTAGGGACTCCCACGAGAATGACCAGAGTTGTGCACACTCAGTGTTCCTGGTCTGTCCAGCTCTTGCCTGCCCCCAGGACCAACCTCATCAGCCAGCAGTGCCAGCTCACTGCTGTCAGCTGCCTCGTAGTCATAGAGCACCCGGGCTTTTCGAGTCCCACTGGCCGGGGGAGCCACCTCCTCCAGGCAGAGTGCTGCCTCTTCTGGAGGGCCCAAGCCAGCCCCAGTAGGTACCACAGGCATGGTAGCTGCAGTGGTGGTCGGTGAGGTGCTGCTCAGGGGTGGGGAGGCAGGCTCTGTGGTGCCCACGAAGGTGCCTGGAAATCTAGAGAAAAGGGGGTCTCAGTACCCCGTACTGACCTGTGAGAGCCCTACGTACTCTACAAGACAGACCAGAGACACTGGTCCATATTACACACAAGGAGGCCCAACCACCAATAACTTACATGGCACCCTGAGAGCTGGCAGCACAAGGAGAAAAGCAACATAAAGGAAGCTGAGATAGTACCACCTGCTTGTCCCTGCCCACCTCCCACTACTGTGAGCCCCTGGGGCTCTGGTCCCCAAGGGCTCACCCCATGAGGTACCCAGTGGGGTCTAGGCAGAGCCTCCAGTCCAACCTCATGTATGGGGTTTTCTGAGCTCAGAAGAAAAGGCCCTTGGCCAAAAGCATTGGGCCACTCACTGGGTCTGGGAGATAGGGGGCCTCAGACCTGGGTCCAGCCACACCTGCCTAGCTGTTTCTGCAGATCCAGCATGTGGCGGTAGCACTGTGCATAGTAGGTTGTCTGAGACTTGACGAACTCATGGAGGCAGCGAAGGTGATTCACCTGGAAGGAAGGTCTCCAGCTAACCTCTGGCCTCAGCATGGCCTGTCCCCATCCCAGGCTCTGACAGGCCATTCTCTAGACACCACGGGGGTGGGGGAGTGCTCAGTCTGTGGGCTGGCTCTGTGGCCTCTGCTGTGGCAAAACCCAGCGGAACACGAATGCAGGACTCACGTGGGTACTGCTGATCCCCTCCAGCAGGAGACGCGTCACTTCTGCCTGCCGGTCAAACTCTGTCTGGGCCACTCGAAGCTCCTGCTCAGCCTAGGTAGGGCGGGCAGTCATGAGAGCAGCTCCATCCTCAGCCGCTCTACGAGCTCTCCCTGCTGCCTACTAGGGACAATACCAGTGCCCTCCAGGAACACAGGCGCCTGGCTCTACCCCAGATGAGCCACAGCCCATTTGGAACCTGTGGGTAGCTGCAGTGACAGGCCCTCCCCACCCTGACAGGGTGGGATCTGTCAGGAGGTGCTGCTATTGGGCCTAGTGTGCTGTGGAACAATCATTTCCCAGAGGGGGGTAGTATCGCCCCTTCCACTCCTCTGCAGTGAGCGTAAGGCAGAACTGAACACTGAAAACTTCCCGTCTCCAGCAGCAGTTATGTCTGGGCCCCAATCCCTGACTTTCTAGACCTTACCCCCAAGTTCTCAAAGGACCAACTCACCTTGTCTACTTCATCGTTCCAAAGCTGTAGAGACCAGAACAGCACCGGGCAGCAGGGAACGCAAGGTGGGCACTGGTCAGTGGTGGAGTAGGGATGGCCAGATGCCAGAGCCTGTGCCTGCCCCAGCTCCCAGGAACCCAACCTCTGCCCACCCTATCCTGCTCAACCCACCCCAGCCCAACCAGGAGCTGAGGCTGCAACAAGATTTGGTATTAGGGCGGGGAGGTGGCACGCGTCCCACCCAGCATGCTGCATGCAGGGCCAGCCAGCTGGAAGTCTTGCTTGTGCTTTTCCTACAGCCACCCCCAACTCTAAATGGGTCTTAGAGACCGAATGTCCCCACCCCACCCTGACTCCTGCTCGGAGGCAGGACAGGACAAGTGACCCTGGGCCAGTCACTGAACCTTTCTGTCCTCCGGCAGAGAAAGGCAGCCTCGGGCCAGAGTCACACTGGGGGTCAGTGGCAAAAGAAAAAAACAGGGCAGCCTCCACCCTCCGGGATGTTTCTCCTTCCACTCGGCCCAGGGAGGGGAGCGGGAAGTGTCATCCAGAGTCTAGGGAAGAAAAGCCCCCCTCCCCCCACCATGACTTAGGAGACCCAATTTATGGTCATTTGTGGAAATCTGGCCTAGGACAACACCCTGACACACAGACTGTTGAACTGGGCCAGCAGAATGCACAGCCCACATTGAGAGCACCGTTGTTGTGTGCCATGTTGAAGGGCTAACAGGCCTGAGAGACATCTCAAAGACAATTGCCAGCCATGGAATGACAGCACAAGTCACACGGTAGCATGCTCAGAACAGGAGCGGAGGGTCAGAAGGCCTGCACAGGAGAGTTTCACCCAGGGCACAGGTAGAGAGGTATGTGGCTAGCCTAGCCCCGACACAGTCTATATACACCTAACTCAACCTGGCTACTGTACCGTTCTAGCCTGCCTACCTCCATCTTGCCTCCAACCTGCTCCTTAGGTTGGCCTCCCACCTGTTTTCCAGGAGCTTCCCAGGCCATCTGGCTTGCAGCCTACCATGGTGCTAAGGAGTCTGAGAGAGGAAACCAGACCCAGGCAGCCTCCTCTCTTACCACAGGGTCCCCCCAGACCCATAAGGAGGTTGAAGTGGTGTACCTTTGTAGGAGAAAGCATAGAATGGCAAGTTCCTCAGGATCCCTAGAGGTGGCATTGTGTGCTGAACTAAGGACACAAAGGGGTTCTGTACAGCTGGTCAAAATATCCTCTACCTTGCCTAGGGAGAAACCAGCTCAGCCTGCCTGCTGGACCAGACTTGGGCACATGGAGTTGTCACTTCCCTGTTCTGAGCTGCCCCTCAGCCTCTCAGGACAACCTGCAACATGAGCAGGGCCCTCTGGCTCACCTGCTACCTTCTGGTCCTGCACTGGCAGAGCCAGTAGCAGGAGCTGTGGGCCAAGGAGGCCAGGGTGGGGCAAGGCATGGTGCGAGGGGTGCTTACCGCAGAGGCGCTGGCCGAGAGAATGTAATTACGTGGTCTAGTCTCCTGAAAGTCAGGCACCGTCTGGCGGGGAACAGAGTTCATGGGGGAGAGGGGTCACCCTGGGCCAGGACCAGTGTTGAGGTCAGGAGGTGGCCCCAGGGTCTCCTATAAGGAGATACAAGAAACCCTGGCCCCTGGGACAGGGGGAAAGACAGATACAACACAGACCCTCTGCCCACTCCAGTCAGCTGGAGATGAGACAGGCTTAGGGGCTCAATGGGTCCAAATTGAAGATCCAGTGACAGTGTGCTGGGAGCCCAAGGAACCCACAGGCTAGGCATGTCCCTCTTCTGGGTCTCAGGCACACAAGGAGGCCCAACAGATCCACAGCCTCCCCTCCCCACCACAGCTTTCTCCAGCTCAGAACTTCACCACAGTTTCTGGCTCCTCCATCAAAGCCAGATCCCCTCCCCCCCCCAAGAGTAGCTAGATGGATGCATGGATGGACAGAATGACAGGCTTTTAACATTTGCAAGAAGCTGCCTCACAGGCCAATGCCTGCATCCCCACAAACCAGAGCCTCTGCACGGAGGCCAGCCAATTGCAAAAGCCTGAGGGTATGCCCTGGGCTGGCCGCAGCACCTGGGCCTCAGGCAGGATGGGCGAACCGGAAGCAGCACAGCACATGGGACGGGCATACTCACATCTCCCTCACACTGAGCCAAGTTACCCAAAGCAGAACGGAAAGGAACAAAAACAGACAGTTAGTAAGTCCACAGCAGGAGAGCAGGCACAGCTGGACCCGCGTTAAGGACACAAGCCACCCTCAGGAGTCCTGGGTAGCAGGCCCTAGGGACACTGCTCACACCTCACATGACTCAGGCCCAAGGCCCTCTGGGCTCCTGGGGAGAAAGCAGTCACCCTGCAGTGACTAAGGAAAGGCCGAAGTGACAGGGAGTGGGGCTGTTCTGCACAGGTGATTGACAAGTGACCCCAAGAGCCATATTCTCTTCACGTATGGACCATGCACACTGGTGACCCTGGACTTGGCTATGGCTCTCGCCAGAGGCAGTGTAGGCCCCAGCGAGCACACTGACTGACCATACTGTAGAGAGGGAGGGTATAGTGAAAGGAGTGAGTTACGGGCAGTGCAGAGCCCAGCAGGCTTGCCTAGTCTAGCCCACCTTCAGCTGAGAGGCTGAGAAGCACAGAGGCATTTCCCTAACATACCCTGGGCCTAGAATTTCCTTCTCAGGGCCTGTGGTGACTGTTAGGTCCCTTACCCCCTTGAGCAGCCTGCATACCAAGACCAAGCGTTCTGCCCTCTGGTCTAGCCCTGTCAAATCAGCTCAGCCTGCCCCTCCCATCCTGCTTGAGCAGGTCCCTGTGGGCTGGGGATGTAGGAGGAGCAGGATGGCCCAGGACCTGCTCCTTAGACAGTCCCTGCATGGGCTATGGGGGCTGGCCAGCTCTAGTGTTCTCCACAGCCTAGGGGAGCCTAAGCATAGGGCGCCTTGTACCCCATGTTCAAGCAGCAGGTGGAGAGTTAGTCAGGGAGCCATGCCCAGGCAGGGCCAGGCTGAGCATCCACGGAGCCAGGAAAGGCATGCAAGAGTTCCATCTGGTATCTTAGAGGCTTGCAGGGTGCCCAGCCCAGTTACAGGCACTGTGAATCTGCCCACCTCATATTTGTCTGTCCTGGAGCCACCAGGGTTCCCTGGGGTGGGGACAGAGACCATGACCTGACCAGTCAGCACAGTCCAGCCCCAGCCAAAGAGGAAGAGCATGCCAAATACCAAGTCCCTGAACTCCCCAGCAGAGCCTGGGATGAAGGAGCAGACAGGGCCACTTACCGTGGCTTTGGCTTCGGCTGCCTTGGCCTTCTTTAGTCGGGCTTTGCAGGCATCCAAGTCAAGACGCCGGTTCTGCAGGAGCCGCCTCTCCTTCTGCAGGATGACAGAGACAGTGAGACTGGGCTAGACCTGCTCAGAAATCCCTGGCAAACTGAGACCCAGAAATGGACAGTCATTCTTGGTCACTCAGCCGGCAGGAGCCACCTCTGAGGAGTGGTCCCAGACTCCTTACCGAAATCGTTTTCCAGTCCCCTTCCAGGAAGTTGCGCAAGGGCGTGAGGAAGCTGAGGGAGGCGGTGTGGATGAAATCCCGCTCTGCTGCTCCCAGGCGCTTTTCAGCTTCTGACACCTTGATTAGTGTCTTCCCTAGGAAGAGAGCTGTAGGGTGAGGGAGAAGCAGAACACAAGCCACTCTGCCTCCAACAGGGCTGAGAAGCAAGCATAGGCAACCTACAGAGGTGCCACCCTCAGGACAAGCAGATGTGCTGGACATCTAACATGAAGCACAAAGAGAATGGCCTAAAAAGAATGGCCAGGGGCTGCTGAGGTGTGGCTGGGGTAGAGCCTTGCCCAGCAGGCAGGTATGAGGCCTGGTGTCTCAAGAACAAACACAAGATTGGGGAGTTCCAGAATGAGGAGTCTGAGTATCCCCCAAAAGTCACACTTACTGAGCACAGCTGTCAAAGATGTCAACTTCTAGACCCTGGGAATTGTTCAAAGCACAAAAACAAATGAAGAAACATTTTCTGAATAACTAGTGGACCCTGGTAAAAAACAATCAAGTGGCATCAGCCTGGGCATGTGCTATTGCTCCTTGGTCAGGCCTGGACAGGCAGGAGACCTGCTTGGTACTAAGAGCACTGCCTCCTGCCAGAACTGAACACAATCCAGAAAAGTCTGAGGCGTCCTGAATGTCTCTCAGCAAGCACACCTGTGGTATGTCTGAGACAGGCTGGACAGCACACTAGCAAAGCCTCGCCCCCACAAGGCAAAAGCTAACTGGATCTGTACACTGTTCAACCTTCAGACCAGTTTCCCAATTCACACAACACTCACTCCCTGGTAGCGTCACTCTCAGGAGATGAAGATACTGGCTGACCACGAACATGTACTGACCCAGGCACGGCTCCCTGGGAGCTACTTTGACACAACAGGAGCAAGCTGGAAATGGGGGGCAGGCCTCCAGACTCATCAGCTGTGAGGCTGAGGCTAGAAGAGCCAGAGTTAGAGGCCATTCTGGGCAAAGACTCTGTCTCCAAGAAGAAAAAAAAAAAAAGACTTTTGTGAATCCAACTACCTCAATAATAACAGTAAGAGGACTTGAGCACGCTAATGAAAAGGTAATGACTATCAGAATGGATATCTTAAAAACTAAATACTATCCATACTGAATGCTATTGGTTAGAGCCACATACAGACTTTATGACATAAACAGACTGAGACGATCAGAAGAAGATACTGTGCAAATGGTGGCATTGGAGAGCTAAGAAGCCCAACAGGTATCAGACAAAATGGACGAACCTTCAGGCAGAGAGCTTAACGAGAGAAAGAGTAGCATTTTCATTTTAGTTTTTGAGATGGATGCTTTCCATACTCAGTCTCCCAAGTGGCAAGACTACAGGCTTATACCACGCTGGCTACAGCGGTAGTTTATAGGGATAATAGTCAATCCAGGGCTGGCAGAGGTGTCACTCACTGACTGCGGCACCAGCATGGGACTTGAATTCAGATCCCCAGCACCTACATACAACTCAGTGCAATGGCATGCATCTATAACCATACTACGGATGGCAGTAGAGACAGGAGACTGGCTACCAAGAGCTGCACAACAATGAGCTACAGGTTAATGAGAGAGAGTGGAGGAAGCCATGCAAACCTGACTTCTGGCCTCCACAAGCACGCGCACACCAATCCATCAGGAAGACAAGCGTAGACACACCCCACAATGACCAACTACACGAGAAGACAGTACAACAAATGGCTGGAAAGGCCCCTGCTGTTTCTCAATAACCATGTGACTCAGTCAACAAGAGCACACTGTCAACAGCTAACCTTCCTGAACAATACTTTACCCGGTAACACATAATGTACACACCAATCCCTCATAGGTCATATTCTAGGTCAGAGGTTCTCAACTTGTGAGTCGAGCCCCGGGGTCGAATGAGCCTTTCACAGGGGTCACCTAAGACCATCAGAGAACACGAGTATTTACACTGCAATTCATAACGGTAGCACAATTATAGTCATGAAGCAATGTAAGTAATTTTATGGTTGGGGGTCAGCATAACATTCAAAACTGTATTAAAGGGTCTCGGTGTTAAGAAGGTTGAAAATCACTGTTGCAGCCCATGAAAAAAGTCTGGCGTTTTAAACCCCAGACTGAAGATCAAACAGCGGATGCTAGTGGGGTCTGAAGCCACAAAGCCGGTTGGGAAGAACACACTGGCAGTCCCTCTCTTTCTCTTTGCCACCATCCCAGCCTTTGGGTGCTAGAGACCAGTCACAGACGCCGCCGTCAAGCCAGGCAGCACGTTACCAACTGTCTGAGCCAGGCTGGAGCCCCGCCATTTCTCAAAAGTTTAGATCCAGAGCTGAAGCAATGGAGAACAGACAAATCCATGCCATTGGAAGTCTGAACTGGGCACCAGGACTTTTGGATGAGGTGGAGATGTTTGTACAACTCTAAATTCACTGGAGTATATATATAAAAAGTCCATTTGAGGGGCTGGAGAGATGGCTCAGCGATTAAGAGCACCAACTGCTCTTCCAGAGGTCCTGAGTTCAATTCCCAGCAACCACATGGTGGCTCACAACCATCTGTAATGGGATCCGATGCCCTCTTCTGGCTACAGTGTGTGTACTCATACAAATAAAGATAAGTTTAAAAAAAAAAAAAAGTCCATTTGATGGAGTCAGTCCATTTGATGGTCTCTAAGGTATATCTGAATAAAATTTAGAAATGAAGGAAGAGAGAGGAGGCTCTCCGAATGCCACCAGGACTCCTATCTTAGATAATGGCAAATGAATGACGAGCTGGAATTAAGAGCACTGGCTGCTCCTTCCAGAGGACCAGCGCACAGTTTCCAACAGGCATGCTGCCAAGTTCACACAGCTTGGAACTCTGGGTCTGAGAGAACAGATACCCTCTTCCAGCCTCCCTAGGCACCAGGCACACAAGTGGTACAATATACATATGCAGGCAAAATGCTCATCCACAGAAGAATAAATCCTTTTTTAAAAGTTAGGTTGCAGGGTACAGATGATCCTATTGAGAAGTACGTGTCAGCCTGGGGAGACACTCAGCCAGGAAGGTGTAGTATGCACAGGCACGCGGCCCTGAGTCAACCCCAGAACACACGTACGGCAGGGGTGGTGACATGGAATCTCAGTGTTCCAGAAGTAGGGACAAGGTGGATTCAGAGGTTTGCTGGCCAGCCAGCCGTAGTCTAACCAGTGAGTAAACCCCAAGTCCTAGTGAGAGGGAAGATGCCTCAGGCTGACCCTCTTGCCTCAGGCTGACCCTCTTGCCTCCACACACTTACATACATGAGCACCTATGTGCATACACACGACCTGGGGCTGGACGCAGCTCAGGGGTAAAGGCTTGTCAAGCATCCACAGGGCCCCAGGATCCAACTCCAGCACCACAGAAACAACGTGCATACATACAAACCACATATACACACACACACACACACACACACACACACACACACACCAACCACATACCACACATACCACATACAGACACCACACACACACTCACACACACACCACACCTCATACATACATCTAAATTGGTTAAGGTAGGATTCTTTCTTTTATTCTCTTCTACACCCAGAAGGACCTTGCATTTAGAATAAGCTCAGGTTGTCTGTAGAACGTTAAACAGGAGGAAGCTGGCCTGATGGCCTCTACCCTCAATCCCAGTGTTTGGCAATCAAAGCCCTGTGGAGCTCTGGGATTTAAGGCCAGCCCTAAAGAGCAAAACCCAACCAAAGTAAAAAAAAAAAAAAAAAGAGGGAGAGGAGAGAGAGAAAGGGGGAACTTAAAAACCCAGAGACAGCCGGGCGGTAGTGGCGCACGCCTTTAATCCCAGCACTTGGGAGGCAGAGGCAGGCGGATTTCTGAGTTCGAGGCCAGCCTGGTCTACAGAGTGAGTTCCAGGACAGCTAGGGCTGTACAGAGAAACCCTGTCTCGAAAAACAAACAAACAAACAAAAAGAACCCAGAGACAGTGCCCCACACTGGTTCCTGGTTCTGTGGTCTGCTCACCATAGGGAGTGCCGGGGCCCAGCTCGCTGGCTGCCTCTGCCATGTACTGCGCTAGCAGCTCCCCGTTGGTGACTCTCGAGGGTACCTTTCTGTCCAGCTTCTCATATAGAAACTCTTCCACTCGGGCACCTACAGGGAGAGAACAGGCAAAAACACAGGGCTCTCTGGTCTAGCCAGTGAGAAAGCAGATCCTGGGCAGCCTCATCTCTGCCCCCAGCATCCATCCTGAAGACTTCCAGACCCACCCCTTACATCCACATCCACCCTGTGAGACTACAGGATGCCAAGGCCCAGAGACATAAAATAACAGCTCAAAGTATCACAGCACTGAAGTCAGCACCCCCTTGACTCCTCTATCTGAACAGGATTTACAGTGTGGAGCACACATCTGAACAACGCCCTGCCCTTGGTTCCTAGGCCTCTTTGAACACTCAGGGACACTGCAGGATTACAGGTGATATGCAGGTTGCCTTCATTTCTAGAGTTTCTCTGGCAGGCAGCTGACTCTATGACTTTGGTCGAGTCCTTGCCTATCTCCGGCCCGGAGCCCAGGCCCGCATCTGTACCTTGCACGACTTTCTCCCCACCTCAACTCCTGCCAGCCTGGCCGTCCCTGTGGCTCAGAGGGCATTCTGGAGCCCTGATCTCTGGTCCTGAGCCCAACAGGGCCCACCTGCCTCTGCCCCACACCCACTCACTGGGGTTGGGCTGCAGCAGCACCTCAGTCTGCCTCAGGATCCGCTCCGTCCAGTTCTTGGTGCTGTCTGCCCGAGCTAGGAGGTTTTCAAAGTGGGCATCAAGCTCAGTCTTCTCAGCTTGGCCGAACTTCTCCTCTGTGAACTGGGGAGGAAGCACAGGAGGGGTCCTGGGGTCAAAACCTTTCACAACCTACCCTGGGTCTTGGTTGCCTTTTTCTAGGGTAAGGGGATGGGTAAGTCAGGATTGAGGCTCCTGGAAACCCCATAGCATCCCTGGCCCCTCTCTCCACAAAAGCATGTGTGCTCCCAGTGAGCGTCAGCTCTGAGGAGATGGCCAGCAGTGCTGAGGGGGAGAACTTGGCAGCAAGTCCTTAGGGAACAGATGGGTCCCAGAGCAAGGGTCTGAGTTACCATGGGACTCCACAGGCAATTTGGGGCTTCAGGGAAAAGGGGCTCGAACAGAGACTAGAAAGACTCAAGGTCCTAGATTAAAGAGATGCTATTCATGCCTCAGTTCTACTCGTTGAACTGTGTGACACTGAAAAAGGGCTTTGCCTCTCTAGGCCTCAGTTTCCCCTTAAAACAGATAGTAAAATGCTTCTCTATCGAGGGTAAGATAGAAAAGATGTGCATTCAACGTGAGGGGCTGGCAACTGAGCCTGTGCCCGGCGTGAATATACACACTGCCACCGCTGGGAGCTGCTGCGTGTACCCGGCAGGTCACATGGGTCCCCCATCAGAGCTGGCTGGAGCCATGTGGGCCACCTAGGAATAATCGGAAACTGGTCCAAGTCCTGGCCATCTAATGTAGAAAAGCCCAGGAACCGATATCCCCAAAGGCTTTTTCCAGCCAGGTGACCAGGCTTGCCTCAGCAGCAAAAGGTGAGATCTGCTACAGGTCCAAGATAAGGACCACATTAGCGCACCAAGTCTCTGCAGTATCTGAAGCAGGCAGGGTCAAGCTTCCCATTACACAGATAGAACCACTGAGGCCAAGTGGAGGGCTGTGGTGGAGTCAGGATCTACAAGCAGGAGGCTCTGCAGAGCCACTGCCTGTGAGGGATGAATCATCCAGAGGACAGCAAAGGAGCCGCCAGGTCTCTCAGCAGCCATCAATTATGCAGCAGGCCCTGGGCTTCTCCCTGCTTTAAGACCTCCCCCTCAGCTCCCTGGGCAGCTCACCCTGTCTTCAGTCCCTGCACTTGTCTCTGTGGTCCTGACTCTCCAGGGATCCAAACCCTTGCAGGTCCCAGCCCTCCCAGGCCACCCAGCCCTCTGATGCTGTTGTCAGTCCCACCTTTCCAGCTGAGGAAAAGGCCCAGAGAGGCAGCAGCATCTCCCTGGGCCTCAGTTTCTCCCTGGAAAATGGCAAAAAACCACCTCACAGAACATCCAGCAAGCACAGAGTATGGGTTCAACAGTTGGTTTCCTTTTGGAAATACTGGGGATGGAACCTGAGGCCTCACACGACCTGGGACAGAAGATTCCTGCTGGGCCTGAGGGTGGTGTTAGCCACTGTCATCACTTATAGTCTCTCAGTGGTGTCACTGGGGGTCAGAAGCGGCCAAGCATACAGGCTCCCAAGCTTACCGGGCTTTCCTGCATCCTGGGCCTCCGCCTTGCCCTTCGCCATGCTACCTGCCTACTTCAAGGGGGGGTGGAGCCGGTCACAAGTACCTGATTACTGCTAAAACCCTCGGCAGGGCGGCTCCTCACACCCACCCACAAGCACAGTATTCACATTACTCCGGTGTGCTGTGTGGTGGCTTCCCTTGCCTCCCTGCCCTGATGGGGCCACACTGCCACAGGCATCTGCTTCACAGACTTTGGCTGACATTCCGGACACAACTCTGGAGCCCTTTGTGAAGTAAGCCAGCCTGAAAATCACTCTTGTACAAAGGATCTTGTCCTTGGGTTTCAAGTTGGAAAGGCCTTGCTCCCTTTGGGATGTGGGTGAGGGGGGAGTCTCTCAAAATTGTCACTGGTCCACACAGGGAATGTGTGCTTACATGTCCTGGTACCTGGCACAGGGACACTGACCCCTGGGAGCTGTCACGTCCACCTTTCCTGACGCCTCCCATGTCAGACACCTCTCTAGGTCACACCACAGGTGCCTGCTGCCTCTGATACCTAGTTCCTTCCCTTCAGAGGGGAAGGGGATCACGCCTGAGACAGTCCACGACCGTTTCCAGCATGAGCAGGAGGGCGGGCGTGCAGAGCACAGAAAACCTCTATTTATAACATTCCCAGCTCCCTCCTCCACCCCAGCCTGGGCCCTGGCTGCCTCTCAAGTGGGACCCGTGTGCCTGCCCCCATCAGGCAGAGTGAGGCCCAGAAGCCCTGTGCCACCACTACCTCTAAGCCCTCTCTGTGGGCCTGGCCAGGTCAGATGGCAGAAACCAGCAGTGGCAGGAAACCAGCAGATCAGGTTCTTCCCAGATGTATGAGATAGTGTGGTTGCCATGCCAACACTGGGACAGGCTTTCCCCCTCTTGCAGGAGACTGAGGCTCTGAGGTCCTAGCATCCTCTCTAGTTGCCCACCAAGCTTGGAACTGGGAACAGGAATGGCAATCCTCACTGGGGCACTAAGTCTCATGGGAAATCTGTGCTTTCTAGTAAACATGGCCACATGGGCCTCTGGGGTGGGGGGTGGGGGGACTGTGCCCAGCAAGTCAACAAGGGCAGCATTCAGAGCCTATTCCTGGGGTACTGAGATGGGTTAGCCCAGGGGTGCAGAAACCTCAGGAATCCCACACCCACCCTTGGAGCAGACAGGGCCTCCAACCTGAGCCTCGAACCTGCCTTACAGAAGGGCAGAGTAAGGCTGACATGACTTGTCCAAGGTCACACGCTGCACAGGTGTATTTAACCTCAGCAACTTCCTTTGCAGACAAGCCAGAAAAGAGAGCCACCCATCCCATTTCTCAGAGCCAGAAACAGAGGCCCCGAAGTAAAGCTCTCCTGCCCCCCAAGGTCACAAGAAGCATCAACATCCATATCCTGACTCCAGCCCTTCACTGACACATGAATTCGCCTCAGTTTCTCTTTCTTATACCAAATGTTTAGGACTTGTTCCAATATCAGCATTACTGGCCTGGACAGGACCCAAAGAGGGCAGCCTGCCAGACCCTAGCCTTCTCGACATCCTTTAGGCCTGGGAAGTAAAAGGAAACAGGCCTCCCGCAGAGCAGAAAGGAAATAACTCCTGGCTTCCGGCCTGACTATCCAAGCGTGTGAAAGGGACTGGATGAAACCATAGCATTAACCTGCCCATTGCACGGGTATGGAGACTGAGGCCCGCAAAAGGGATTGGGTATTCTTGTGTGGCCCTCAGCCTGCCAGCCTGGCCTGGGGCGGGGATGGGGAGGAAGGGAGAGTAGTGTAGGGAGGTATAAATCACCCAGTGGTCATTCATCTCCCGGGTTGTGCAGGCAACAGGGCAGTGGGTAAGCTGTCAGTGCAAAGGGGAACTGCCAGGCGCCCAGGCACCGGAGCGCAGGCCCCCATGGTCTCGGGCCATCAGGGAGGTGCAGCTGACCTCGCTGGGAGCTCCCCCGGGCAGCTCCGGGCAGGGGAGCAGGGGCCCGAGCTGCCTCCGGCGCGCACAGCCGCCGCTGCAGGGAAGGGGCTCCTGCAGCACGGTCCCGGGGCGCGCTCCACATCCGGGCCCCGTGCGCGGCGTCGCGCCAGGCCTCACCTGCACCGCCCGAGTGAAGAAGATGCCCGCGTCCGACGCCAGCTTCTTCATGTTGAAGTCCATGGCGCGCCGGTGACAGGGCCGCGCGCCCGCCCCAGCGCAGCCGGCAGCCCCCCGCCCCGCCTCGCGCACCCTGCCCC